AGTATCAAAGGCATGTGCTGCCAAGAGATGTGACGGAAATCGGGTTCACCGAGACGGTGGACATACTCAAGCAGCTGTTTCGATTTCAAGTCGTCATTGTTCACCACGAGATATCAATGTCTCAAGCTAGAGAAGAGCCAATCAGAAGACTTCCTCACGTATACCGGTCGTGTGAATGAATTTTGCGAGAGAGCAAAGATTCACGAGCTAGACTCAGACGGAATCAAATGCTTGCTGTGGATTTTGGACTGAAGTCACAGCAGGAGGCAGAGATCAGGCAGAGGCTGATCACAATACTGGATAGAGACTACAAAGCAGGCAAAACGGTCTCACTGCAACAATTGCATCAGGAGTGCGAAAACTTCTTAAGCCTCAAGAGAGACAGTGAAGTTGTCGCCGGAACTATGAAACTAGTGGAAGCCACGTCCGTACAGAAGCGGAAGGAAATAGAATGTTGGAACTGTGAAGGCAACCATCGTGCTAGTGGATGCCAAGCAAAACCTTGGTTCTGCAAGAAGTGCAGGAAGGTCGGTCACAAGGAAAAGTTTTGTGACACTTTACGACAAAAGAAGACTGCGGGTCGCACAGAGGCGACGCAGAAAACTCAGCATACTAAAGAGAAGTTCTCGAGGAACAGAAACAACAGAGGTCCGAGAAAAGCAAGTACGAATCGTCAAGATTGCAAATGCAGCAGTTCAGGCAAACTCTTCCCGTGTGTACATCGACGCTGTAGTGAACAACTACTCAGTCAAATTTCTTCTCGATACTGGATCAGACATCACGTTACTGAACGAGAAGATTACCAATATAGTCGTGAAAAACGCAAGTGGAGATACCATGAAGATATATGGAAAGCTTAAATGCAAGATTACCATGAAAGGTGTCACTACTGAAGGAGACGCCTATGTGACGCCGCACAACTCACTCTTGGGTCTCGAATGGATTCGAGCAAATGAGAATTTGATGTACCACATAGAAATGATGGCTGCTGAAGTGAAGGCCAACTGTAACCCCAGACGTGAAGAAGAGTTGAAGAAAACATTCCCGGATGTTTTCGAAGAAGGTGTAGGACGCTGCACCAAGGAAAAAGTCGATACGTTGAAGAGAGGATTTAGAAATCTCAAAGGGGAAGAGAAACCGTCAGAAGACAAGTTCAATGTTATATTGCAAGCACACCGAACCACCCCACACAGATGTCTTGAGGACAGAACTGAATCATCGACAAGGTTGTACGCCGAAGAAAATCGAAGGAAGATGAAGCAACAATACGATAGGAGGAACGGTTCCATTTCGAAGGAATTCCATAAGGGAGACGACGTGTACGCGCAGATGTGGAAAGCCCCACACTCCACATGGAAGCAAGGAGTTGTCGCAAAACGCCTTGGGAAGGTCAACTATGAGGTCCCCGTGGAAGGAAGACTGATGCGGAAACACGCAAACCAATTACGACACAGCAATACAGGGACAAGAAACCTGCTCAACCGTGTTACGAATTTGGACGACAATCGTCCTAAGAAGCAGCGAACGGCAGCGCTGCATGACTTTGGACACCGCTCTACCGTGCTTCCAGAACCATCACTGCGACGATCTACTAGAATACGAAGACCTGTGAATACGTTATGGCATTGATGTGTAGATTCAAATGTTCAATGTTTTGTTTCCCTTTGTAAGTAGAAAGACAAATTGTTGTTCACATTTTTCCTTGTCTTTCTACTGGGGGAGGTGTTGTATAGAGGAATGAACTCTGATAAAGTGTGATACTGCGCACCTCTTTTGAGAGCGTATTTAAGAGAGGTGAGCGGTAGGGTTGAGTTAGTTTTGTGTGTGGTATACTCGCCAGATAAACTTTCTGTGCGTATCGTCTTATCGACACTCCCGGAGACAACTCAGAAGCAAGGGATCCAACACTGTGTAAGTGAGAATCTGCGATGGAACAGCGTGCATAGCACTACTGTATGGTGTATCGAAAAGAGGGTGGAGACATCAGAAACATCGACTGATCTCCATCTTCTGGCTTCCTTGCCACACTTTCGAGCGGCCAAAGTTAGTCATCATTTCTGTAGATGCGAACTTGACCACCCTGCCACGTTATCGTACAGTGTATCTTTAAAATATGATAGGTCTTGTACGCTGCGGAGAAGGGGCGTATCGGTGAGGGGTGGCGCCGTCAGCCCGTTCGAAATCGGATGTTGGAGCAGTTAAGTAACTGGAAGAAGGACAACGACGGAAACGAACGACAAGATAGTCTTGTCACTAGCTGGAAGAAAAAAAAAGAAAAAAGGGCTCGCGCAGCGTCAAACCCATCTCCCTTGATATGCCCCATTACCCGCAACGAACAGGACTGTATCATCATAGTATTAATGGATTGGTTCACATGCAAACCTACTTTGGATAGATGGGATTCTCAAGTTTGTATCCGTATTTGTACATGTATCGGTTGCTCTCTCCGCATACTCTTTCGGCTGATATAGCTCCTGAAGAAAAGAGACAGTATAAAATAGACAGCTATAAACGAAAGAAAAGGAATCTAGGAAGAATGCGTTGTAGCCCACCCTCTGGGCGGATGCCTTCTGCTACAGCTCGAGCGTATACAATAGTGTCCTTAGCATCCATAGGGAAGGGGAATGTTCCTGTTGCAACGAAATACAGCGTGCATCCAAACGACCATAAGTCACACTGCTCTCTCGTATAGTTATCATTCGTCCTGGTTCGTCGCTGAGCATAGGCAGCTGCTAATTCGGGACACTAAAAACAAATAGCTCCAATCTACCAGGCAGGTCTCGCTCCGAGGGTTCAGAAGTATTTTCTCGTCGCAGCTACCGACTGAGCAGTTGAAGGGAGAACGAAAAGAAATCGGGAAGAGAGAAGGAAGCAAGAAAAAGAAAGAAGGAGGAGGAAAAAAGGAAGGAGTAGGGAGGCTCCGCGGCTGACAAGTATCCTGACACGGTGCGGGCTGAATGATTCCGTAACTGCAGTTGGGCGCAACCTTTTTTGCGCTCAAAAGTCCACGGAAATGGGGCTGGAGTGTAGTGATGCCCGGCTGCCGTTTCCATACTTAGCCCGTCTGCAAACCTATTCATTAAGGACCCATTAACCTCACATATGGGAAGGACACCCTTCGCAGATAAATTTTCACCCTCGTGAAGAGAAAGGGTACACGTCGCAGAGCGGTCTGCTTCTGCTCGTCTGAACCTTCCCCGGGATACTGATCCTTCCTCTGCTAAGGCTGAACCTTGGCAAAAAGGATAATTTTTCTCTCTCACCTTGTTTCCCTAACTGCCGTACCATTCGAGCGCACCACTCGAAAAACCCTGCAGTCCGCACTACACGCGCCGGAATAAAAGCAGGAGCGTTGTGTCGCTGCCTGTAACACGAGCTACTGGCGGTTTCGCGCCAAGCGGATGTGAATTCATGTTTAGCGGGTTAATCTATCCCTGAGAGCGAGTTTTTAGCCAAATCTGTGTTTAGTGAAAAAAAACCGGTAAGAAACTAGCTTGATTTGGGGCAGTAAAGGGACAGCAGGGCCTGATCCCCTTTCCTTCGAAGGTTCAATCCATGAAGAGCGCAGACGACCAGACTTCTGAGAAGAGAGGAGGAACCTCGCGTTTTACTGTAGTAGCCTCCATTTTGAACTCTTGTGAAGGAAACTTACCAAAGCATTAGGTGTTCCGACAAGTGTTTGCATTACTCCGTCTTCATGTACAAAACTCGAAACACCCATATCACAGAACTTGAATAAATATTGTGACCTACAATTCAGAAAATCAACAGAAATTCTTGTTAAGGGACAACACGAGAGGAATAGAGTGTTACCTTCTTCCTTTTGTTGACCCAGGGAATACCAAGAATATTAAGATGCTTGATATCACGATGAGCTATGCCACGCTCTTTCAATGTCGTTAGAGCAGAGACTAAACACTACAAACTGGATGGGTACCTGCTCCTGATATTAAAGTACTAATATCAATACCTGAGTCACATAGGAGATCAATTATGACTTCTTTGGGGAGTCCTCGCAAATTTCTAACCTTCTTCAGCAAACTATCAAGAGAATACAATGCACGTTCCATAGCAAATGAGAAGCGTTCAGGGGAGTGTGCCGTTGCCATTTTGTGTCGACTGCCTATGTACTGAAAATATCATTTCAAATTACGCTTGCATTGCATAACAAAAACAGGGGAATTCATGAGAAAAATATTCTTGCGCGTCAACGTATTCATGTTTTCCGGCTTTTTGTTCATACAACAATTTCTTAGGCTGCGTTCATATTTTGTGTCAGCTTCTTAAAGACGGCCCCCGCGCTCAAGTAATTCATGGTCGTCCTTCCTGTGCTCCTTCCTTGTGCAAGTAGTCCAGCCCCCAAGCTAAGACTGTCCCACTCTCGCAACTTCACAGCGAGCGAGGAGCGAGCTACAGCCGCTGAAAGTTCTAGTTCTAACGCCCGCTCAGTTGGACCGCCCACTTGCTAGATGCCCTCTGACGGAGAGCCGCTCAGTTGTTCTTTGTTGGGCGGCGGGCATAATCGGGATAATCTTTTTTTCCCGACCAC